TCTAGATTACATGAATTGACATGAATTAAATGGGTGACTAATGTGAGCTGGCAACATGAAGTGTTTCCAGATTACATGTCACCCATTTCATGTTGACATGAATTTTTCTTTAAACTGTATCTTCATTAGGACACCCTTGAAGTGTTTAGGCTTAAATTTCTTGCAATATAATCTAATTGTTGAAAGGATGAAGACATTAGTCACCCATTTAATTCATAATTTTTTCATCTCACCTGAAAAAGTTCTTTAGGAAAAGCCACTTTGAGCCTGACCATTTTGTTCCTTACCCCAATCAATTGAGCTCCATAACCAAATGGCCTGTGTTCCTTACCCGTGAATATTTCTGACTTAGCCTTGGCATTTAGGGAACTAGGGGATTAATTTGTTAAGTTTAGGGGATTTGTGTAGGAGCCATTTTTGGAACTGTTCCTATGCCCCAAAGTGGAGTAAGAGCAGTCACTTTTTAGGAATTTGATACTTTCGAGAATTGCATCGTAGGCATGGATTCACATTAATAAATGAACTTTAATTGCTATTTTTCCTTGGTGAGTCCGAGATTAGAATGGGGTAATGTCTAGTAAGAATCCGAAAGGTGAAAAATTAATATAGCTAGACCTCTTACCTTGCGAAAAAGAGAATGGGAGCCCAGGTCAAAAAGCGTATGTGTTTTGCACAATAAGATGAAACCTTGGGTATCTTTCGAAAGAAATGGCGTTCTCGTGCCAACATGACAAGGAAAACTACACTTAATCAATGAACTTGGAGGCTTTAGCAAAATTAGCTTTAGTCCTCCGTGTACTTCAAGTATACGTCAAAGCACCAATGTGCCGCGTCGGTTTAGCTTAGTTGTACACCATGCCTGCTCTTTGCATAAGTTTAGATGATTGTTCCTAAAATTTTGTCCTTCTGAGTTCCTTGTTCCTAAGAATAGCCCTAAAGTTCCTGAATGCATCGAGTCTTTGTTAGAATATTCCAATCTATCAAAAGAAAGGGACTGCCTTTTACCATTCACCATAACCTTCACAAGTCCTTCCGATCAATAATTAATTTATTTGTGTTATGTTGTCATTACTTCGAGGATGTTGTGAGTACTTCGTCAAATAGTTTAGCTTGAGTACAAAGATGTAGTTTAGGGAAGAATTTTCTTGATTTAGATTGTCTGTTATGTGAATATCCTTTTAACTACGTGTGCATGCTAACTGTTTTAAATTCCATGTGGTGATTATCGTAAGTCCTGTTGTTCGATTTGCTTGAGGACAAACAAAAGCTTAAGTGTGGGGGAGTCTGATAAGTCCGTATTCAGACACACATTTGATGCGTGTTCGGGTTGGATTTTGATGGTTTTATTAGCTTTAAGGTGTTGCAAGTCTCGATTTTAGCTCAAGTTGCGATTATCAAACGTTGGGTCGAGTTTCTTTACATTTGGAGTTGAATTGAAGAAGTTAGAGTGGTAATCAGCGCTTGAGAGGCATTCAGGAAGGATTTGAAGGCATTCGAAGAAGATTTGAGAGATTTGGAGGTCATCGGGAGATTCACGACGAAATTCTGATGAATAACGAGTATTTGGATTGACCTCGTACATCCGGGAGCGTTTGGAACAAGAAAACGAAGAAAAAAGTGAAGAATAAGGTCACGCACGGTCGTGCCCGGCGTTAGGCACACCGTGCATGCCTAGGAATGAAGCAGATGAGCTACTTGAACCTGGCACGGTTGTGCGTGGCAGGCAGGCACGCCGTGCCCGAAGAGAAACGAGGAACAAGGTACTGGAGGCCAGGCACGGTCGTGCCTGGCAGTTAGGCATGCCGTGCCTTAACGCGTTTAAACGGGATGCTTCCGCAGGCACGGTCGTGCCTGGCGCCGTGCTTGACCCCATTTTGTCCTAATTCTACCGAAATTCCACCCTTTCCTTTAAATAACACCCCCATAACCCTAATGAGGGGGGTGGACTTTAGAGAGCTGATTAAGGACGAAAATTAGAGAGCTTTTCAGCCAGGTTTTTCAATTCCTTAATATTCTTTGTAAGTTCCTACTTTTTTATTAATGACAATTAATTCTATTCTTCCCAATTCCGTTGATTCTTCAATTATGAATTGCGAGTAGTTTTAATTAGGGATTTGGAGTTTATCATGATGTATGGCTAGTTTCTTGATGGTTTGATTACATGAATGCCATTTAATTTGTGTTTGAATAATTTAACTGTTATCTTTTGTAATCTGGAACCGTGGCTAGAATTACAATTGCACATAGAATAAATTAAGAGAGATCTAGTTTATTCTAGGACACATTCATACACACTTAATCGTTCGCTAAGAGATTAGTAGCGATTAAGGGGTCGTAAGCTCGTTCGTCTTGACAATAATTTAGGATCTTGTCACATGAGAGATCGGTCTGGTCCCCTAAATTATTGTACTCTACGCCGCGAGAGCGGTAAGAACTTAGTATTGATTAGCTAGGCTCAATTAAATTAAATTCATGTAATTAAGCCTGATCTGCCAGAAATCTGATTACCCCGGAATCAATCCCTGTTCCCTTCATCGTTAATTAAGAAGAACCCAAATCTTTACTTTTATTCGCTCATTCGCATTAGTTTAATTTCAATTCAACCAATCAATCTCGCACGGCGCATTTATTTAATTTTATTTCTTTTTAATCGCTGAATTTAGTTAATCTTTAATTCCCTTTTGTCCATCCCTGTGAAGACGATACTCATACTTTCACCACTATTCTACAATCTTTTTAAGTGCGAGAAAACTCACATCACTCATCTTAATCTATCATATAAAGGACACATATTCTTATTAAATGCTTGGACTTTGCTTTATCATGATGTACATTGTGCTGCTATTGATTGCTATTGATGTACGCTAACTACTATGCACACTTGTAGACGTTTACAGATCGTTACTTCCTTGACGATGTCTAACTCTAACTGTTTAAACAAAACTAACTCATGTGGACTTCTTCTTTTTTCGCAACCGTTTATGAAGCCAAAGTGCCAAAGTCTTTCAACTTGCGTTCCATGAGCTCAGAAGTTGGAGCATCTATCAAAAATAAATTCTTATTCAATGAAAATTCAGTTTTGAATGATTTCCATCTCTTCTCCCGATGCTTTTATAAATGGGGATTTCCCTAGGATTGTCATCTTTTCCACGTGGCCTGATCAACACTTTGTTGAGTTTCTATTCTTTTCTCCAATAAGCGCCTATGTTTAATTTGTTGCAGTTTATACTTTTGTGGGTTTGTTTTCCACTCTTCTGTTTAATTTTCTATTTCTGTGTGTACACAACATATAGCTTTGGACTTCACATAAAAATCATTTTTAACGCATGCTAGGTGTTTAAGAATATGCCACTTTTTTTCCTACCTACAAATTAGTTCTATTTTTGCACATTTTCTATTTTCTACTATATCTTCACAAAAAATGTGGAAGTGATGCTGGAAAAAGTAGTAGTATAACAATAGAGTTATCAAGTTCAGTTCACCTTTCTTCATATTATGGGTAGCTAAATCTTAGGGGTATTAGGAAAGTTACAAACTGTCCATCCTTAGGAAAAATCAGTCAAGCATAGTCAATTCAGGCATTATGAATGTATTGTTGCCCTAATTCTCTAGAACACAGTAAGCCACCACAATGTATTGTTGGCATCTATAATTTATTTATAATAGTAAAACTGCATATTATAATGGTATTGATAACGCTTATTATGATGATAATCATCATTATAAAAATAAGGATAACTATAATGATAATTAAATGATATTGTAATTAAAGTTATAGTTATAATCATAATTATAGTTATGATTATAATTATATTTATAAATATGATGACAATAATGACAATGATAATCATAATAATAACTTTATAATACTAATAAAAATCAATCGCATGATAAGTAATAAGATCAGAATGATTCAAATCAGTTCAAAATTCGAAAACTCTGATCAGATCATAAAGATTCATAGCACGAGATCATACAAGATCATCAGGGCATATTAGAAAAAAACCAGAGTAGATTCGACCAGATCTTAAAACTTTCAAATTATAAATATTCATACTAGATGAATAGAACAACTTCTTAATATCAACCATAGCAATAGAGTATAATTCTCGAAATAAATACCATATCAATTCAGTTTCCAAAATAGTTGTACAACATCAAATTCTTTAAATAGTGGGGCTCTAATACATGTAATAGGACTCTAATAATGAAAAATTGATCTTACACATTTGAGTGAGGCTCTAATTCAAGACCAAATTTTTAAATAATGGAACTTTAGTTCACGTAAACGAGATTCTAACTGTACAACACTAATAATACACTTGAATATCCAACATAATGTAAATTATAAACTCCACATATTCCCAATTCCAATTCACACTTCTTATTATCATCCTCATCATATAATTAGCCATATAAATAATTAATAACTATTACAGCACTAAGCATATAAATCACAATTTAAACAAAACATCATACTCCAAAAGAGCATGATTCCTCACATGTATTCCATGGTGGTGGTTAGTTCATACTACCTCCGTCTCTCTTTATGTAGTCATCTTTGATTTTTCCGGTCAAAGATGATAAACGCTGATCCACTATTTTAACTAATATATTTACGTGAAACTTAATATATTTATACTTGTATGATATTATTTTTTTTCAAAAAAAAAATTCGTATCTATTTCCATATTATCATTATTACCATGTATAAGTATATAATCGTTCAAAGTTTAATACAATTGACTTAAAAATAGTGTTTGACTAAATATAAAGCGACGAAGTAAGTAAAGGAAATCGATTTTAGCCAAAATGTTGATCACATTACATGACTAGTTCACAATGTTCAACAATATTTATCATATGATTCATATCAAATTAACACTACCAGCATGTGCCCAGCGTTGCACTAGTTTACTACTATGCTTAATTGTTATGTACATTTTTTAAAAACCAAATAGAGTAAAAAAAAGAAGCTATCTTTTATATGGATGGATAATGATAGATTGATAAGCTCAGGAAAATAGTTAGAACACGGAGGATCCTTGATATATAGTTGACCCAAAGGAATTCTGAAAACCCTAAACCGACAGTGGATTGGTGAACCTCGCTGAAAATTCAACGGTCAAGAAGTGGCACATCTGAACACGAGAACCACCGTTAGATCCGCTCTGAAATCTGAAGCCGTCTATCAACAGATCACAATCATCATCACCGTCTCCTCTGTCTTTACACGGATTCTGCGGCGCGGGTGAGTTGCTCTTGCTCTGTCCCTCTCTATCTCCCTCTTCCAGAAGGCTTAATCTGCTGCAAAAGGATATGGATGGCGGAGATGCAAATCAGCAGCAACAACAACAGCAACAACAGCAGTGGATGGCGATGCAGCAGTATCAGCAGCAGCAGCAGCAATGGATGTCAATGCAGTATCCTGCAGCTGCGATGGCGATGCAGCAACAACAGATGATGTACGGGCAGCAATACGCTTCGTACTACCACCAGCAACAGCAGCAGCCACAGCAGCATCAGTATCAACACCAGCAGCAGAAGCAGCCATCTCAGATTCAGAGCTCCGGCGATGATAACCGCACGGTCTGGGTTGGAGACCTCCAGCCGTGGATGGACGAAAGTTATCTTCATTCTTGCTTCGCTCATTCCGGAGAAGTAAGCATATTTGTTTATTCTTTGGTCTTTATGCTTTTGGCTTCTAATTAGTTCTTCATTAATGGAAGTTTCTTAACTTCAGTTTAAAACCAACGTCAACCCTAAAAACTGTCAAATAAACTATTGCTCCTTAGTGTTAAGTAAAGAATTGGACTTACAAAAAGATTTATTTACAAGAAAAGTTTATCGAAGTCCATTTTCTAATTTCAAATTCGAATCCTCTGTCACCCTGGATCAGACAAACCAGATCTATGACGGAAAAGAAAGAATTGGACCCTATCTGGAAGTTTTATTTTTTTGAAGCAATTAGACATAGAATAATACGTAGTACCATGTATTGAGCGAAAGACTTGATTTTCATGAGACCTGAAACATTTTAGCGTATTTCTGCTGCTTAAATAATGTATCAATTAGGATTGTAAGTGCTTGAAGAAGGTGCTACCTGCTTCATTCTCATTGCTACTCCAACTATTCGTAGTTCTATTTCCTAAAGCATTAATAAATTGGCTGGTGCAAAAATACAATAATGCGTGAAATTCACTTTATTGTGTCCAATGCATAAACATATAAATATATATGATTGCTAAAATGGATTAGAAAATGATCTAGTGTAAATAATCTTCACGTTTATTGTAAAAAATGCAGGTTCTTTCTGTCAAGGTCATCCGGAACAAGCAGACTGGTAATTCCGAGGGATATGGATTTGTTGAGTTCAACAGTCACACTGCTGCTGAAAATGTCTTGCAGAACTATACTGGGACCACGATGCCAAATGCAGAACAACCTTTCAACCTAAATTGGGCAGGATCTAGCAATGGAGAGAAAAGGGCTGCAGATTCTGCTGGGTCTGATCTGTCAATATTTGTAGGGGATTTAGGTGCTGATGTCACTGACGCGCTGTTATGTGAAACTTTTGCTAGTAGGTATTCCTCTATCAAAGGTGCCAAGGTAGTACTAGATCCAAATACCGGTCGCTCCAAAGGTTACGGCTTTGTTAGGTTTGGTGATGAGAATGAAAGGTTGCGTGCCATGTCCGAAATGAATGGCGTATATTGTTGTAGCAGGCCCATGCGAATTGGGGTGGCTACCCCCAAGAAGCCATCTACACAACAACAACAATTTTCTTCACAAGGTAGGGTTGTCTTTTTCTTTTGCTTGAAGATGTATCAGTTCTTATTATTCTAATATGGCTATTCTGTTGATGAAACATACAGAGTATTTTGTTAATGACTTCAAAGTGTTGGGGAAATTTTCTGATTTAGTCCTGTATATTTAGTCTCGTCTTTTCTCAATTGCACATCTTATCGTATAACTAGAAAACTTTCTCACATTAGGGACTCCCCGCTGGAAAGTATTCACATTCCACCAGAAAAGTCTACCAAAGCGGTGCCGCTAATATAGATTTTCCCACCAGACCGTGTAGATTCTGGCTGAAATTCCTTAATGTGTTCACACTTATTACTTTCGAACTTGCGGTACAACAACATCCTAGCTTAGTTATGTACAAAGCAAGTTAAATCTAGGACTAATAATGGGCTTAAGTTATGGGACTGATTGCACAATTTTCTCAAAAAATGGTAAAACGCTATAATAATTAATGCATTGGGTTTCTTTTCTAGGTACACACAATATAATGTATGGATAGCTGGAGATGTAATATGGTTAAATTGGGAAAAATCAATAAAAAACATGCATCTCTAAAATGGCATATATATTGCTAATGTTTTTTAACTTTTTTTTTGCTATGGCATAAATTTGAATGGTGTTTTTGTAGATAAATCCATTTTATTTTACTCCCATAACCACTATGGAGTCATATATGTGGCGTCACTATAAGTATCCATTTTATATTAAATTTATAGTGGAGGACCCCATTATTAAAAAAGTGTCTATTGTGAGGCCTGATATGCTTGAAGAAAGTGGAGTCACATATGACTTACCCCCCCCCCCCCCCCCCCCCACTACTATCTTTGTCTCACTTTCATTTTTGTATGAAGTTTGTGCCGTATCATATTTGGTAACACTTGTGTCATTCAGATTTATTCATACATCAAAAATTTAATATTTGCAAAAACATTCTTTGACCATCTCATGTCTCAAAGATAGAAAGATAATGAGACAAAGCAAATAGTTTTGTTTATTCTTTTACCATCTCATATTCCCATGTTATATGCCGGTTGTTCTGTTGATGAGATACGTTTTATTAGCTGTGGTCTTGGCTGGTGGATATGCTTCAAATGGTGCTATAGCCCAAACCTACCAATCTGATGGTGATTTATCCAACACAACAGTAAGTCTGGATGATTTGGCAAGTTATTTATTAGCATTTTGATTATTGCCTAACTCTTTGGCTCATTATGTAGATATTTGTTGGAGGAATTGATTCCGACGTTACCGATGAAGACCTACACCGGTCATTTTGCCAGTTCGGCAATATTCTCTCAGTCAAAATACCTGTTGGGAAGCGATGCGGTTTTGTACAATTTGAAAACAGGTAATCAGCTGCTCAATTTGCTAAGCCCTACACCCTCATAAGAAATTATCTTTGTGTCTCACTGCAGCTCTCTATTACATATTTCTGTAGGAGCTCTGCAGAGGATGCAATACAGAAACTAAATGGATCACTCATTGGCAAGAACACAGTTCGTCTTTCGTGGGGGCGAACCCCTGCAAACAAGCAGCAGGTATATTACTTGGAAATCATAGATGACTAATAAGGTATGAAAGAATTCAAAAGGTGGTTTAAATTGATAAAAATAGCAAACTCATTACTAAAGTAAAAACAAGAACAAAACACGACATTCAATCCGTGGTAACTATAGTAGTGGTACGTAGTACGGAGTATTTTTTAGTGATTCTAATGCCAAATTGATGTTCAATTTTACACTATAGGGTAGTGACCAATATAGTAATATTATTATCCACGAGTTCTTTATTAGTAACATTCTTGTAAAGAAACCCTTTAAATTTACATATGATTTTAAACCTCATTGTTCTTTGCAGGCAAGAGCTGAAGCCAATGGTAAGTGGAATGGGGATTATTCGGGAAGGCAAAGTGGTTATGGCGGATATGGACATTCTATGCCACAAAATAACGATCAGAGTATGTACGCTGCCGGTGGATATGGAGGAGGATCTGCAAATGGATATGGCAATAACCAGCAGCCCTTAAACTGAACACTACTCAGTAATACCATCTTAGACAGTCTTCAGCTTATAATAGACTTCCCCCCTTTTACTTTTTCTATTTTTATGTGTTTCAGAGTTCGCCATAGCTTACAGAATTTTGTAGCTGGATTTAAGTGCATCCCTGCTAGTGTGCCCCCTATGCATACATATAACGCACGTTCGTAACATGTGGTTTTTTTGTGCAACACATGTGATCTTGTGGTGTCCTAATCTTCTATCATTACTTCTTGAGCAAATATGTGTAGATTTAGAAACCTAAAATGAATTGTAAAGTTGTTAAGGTTGGAACATGATAAATTTGTTTTGCATATCGAAACAACTAATCAAAAGCTAATACAAAATGATATGGTTATTACTTATTAGAATTTAGAAAGATACCACATGTCCCAAAAATGTGTTCTGATTGGTCAAGGTACACTTTTTGTGGATAGGCACAACTCCTAAAAGCCATGAAATCTTACATAGATTAATCTTACATAGATTTCATAAGATATTTGTATGTTTATCTAAGTTTATATGAAAGAAAATGCTAAGCAAATACCTAAATGAAAAGCCTCCACTGTCTTGATATAACGAGTGGATTGCATACACCAAAATAGGGGGGATCCTATATTCCTATGGAAGCTCTACACCATAGAATGAGAAACCAACCTGCATTTCTTTGGCTAGAGGCTTGAAAGGAATCCATTTTTGCATCCACTTGAACGGTGGATAACATATACTATGTACTATCGTAGCTTGTAATGCTTGAAGGCCATTCTAAATGAAAGGACACTTTGACTCGGATAACCTCCTCAGAACTTCTAAAGCAGCAGTTGTGATAAAAACATAACCACATTATTCACAACCCCACTAGTTCGTGCACATTTCTTGATTGATCGATGTAATTAGGGATGGACTCGGGCCGGGTGGCCCGACCCGGAACCGGCCCGGGACCGGTACTGTTCCGGCCCGGCCCGGTGGCCCGGTCAGTGACCGGTCCGGGTAGGCCCGGCCCGTGGGTTTTCCGGTCCGGGCTCGGGTCACCCAAAACAAGGTCCGACCCGGCCGGGCCCGGGCCCGGTTCGGGCCAAAAACTATTTTTTTTTCTTTTTTTTCAAATTTTTTTAAATTTTCGGGTTGGGCTGGGTATTTTGGGCCATTTGGGGTGGTTTGGGGGGTTGGGGGTGGGAGGGGGTTAATTAGGAAGAGGAAAACAAAAAAAAAATATAACGGGCCCGGCCCGGCCCGGCCCGGACCCGGTGGTTACCCGGGCCGGTCCCGGGTCCACCATTTCTGACCCGCCGGCCCGCTCGGGCCTAGGCCCGGCCCGGCCCGGACCCGAATCCATCCCTAGATGTAATGCACTTCAAAGCCTTTGATGTAAAGTGGTCAGAGGCTGTAGTAACTAAATAGCTTTTCTGCAACTATTTTCTACGTAGTATTACTTATGAGTTATGACCCACACATTCAATCTCAATGTTGCGTTTGAGTGTAACTCAAGGGACGTGTATCCCAAAATCCCCAAATATAGTTCCATTGATGTGCTTATGGAGAAAAGTTTAAGGCCTTGTTTGGTTCAAAGGAGGGGAGGGAAGGGGAGAGAGTCAAGGAGGGAACGAAAGGGAAGGGGAATGAAGGATTTTGATAAAAATTTGTGTTTGGTTGGACGAAATAGGAAGAAAGGTTTAATGAAAATATTTTCACAATTTACTTTTATTTGACAGCTTACTTTAAAAATAGATACATGTCTAACTATTGTGAATGTTACTCCTATGATCATGAGTCATAATTTTATTTTATTTGCTTTTTTACTTTTTTAATTTTATAATTTTTCATTTTTTAGTTTGGATTTTTTTTTTTTTTTTTTTTTATTTTTCATTTTTAAAATTTTTAATTTATAATCTTTAAAAATTTTAATTTTTTAATATTTAATTTTTTTAATCTTTAAATTTTTAAATTTTTTAATTTTTCAAAACTTTTTTTTTTACCTTTTTATATTATGACGTTTTGTTCATTCACGTAGGAGATGGATAGTTTGTGGTTATCAACACGTTTCCTCCGAAATACCCTAATTTGGGGGGTTTAGAATGGGAGGAAGTGGAAGATTTTGAAAGCCTTCTACTTTCCTCCCCTTCCCCCCTATTTCCTTCAACCAAACATACACAAATCTCCCACTTTCCTCCTCTCCCTTCCCAAACCCTCCAACCAAACAGGGCCTAAGGAAATTAACATGTACTATATTCATGTCTAATTTACTTTAGCGTTTCTTTAGCAGGCATTGTAATGTTTTTGTGACAAAATGCAGATGGACATTTCCTTTAATGATTCAATGATGTATTTTGGACGATGAAAATCACTTAAGTTGTACGTAGGGGACTTCCTGGTAAACATGATTTAACTTTTATATAAGTTTGGCGTTATAATTTTAATGAATTCACTTTGAGTTGTCGAGAAATTAATGACATTTATAGATTTTATTTTTAGATGTTATTGTATACCACTTTTTAAATTAATTCAATTGATATAATTTAGCAACAATTTGTTGTAATAATATGTCAGTATGTTAAGACACAATTCTGCATTTGGCTCTATCGTTGGGAATATTTTACTTTTGTCATTTAACATGAGGAAGACTACTTTGAACACAACCAATGTATATTAGCTTCAATAATACATTAATTAGTGAGAGAATATCTAGTAAAGCATCATTACGGAATAAAAAATGATAATAGAAAACAAAGTAATTAATGAGGATTAATTAAAGTGCCCTAGGATCCCGACAAATTTGAACCGACAGACTTCTCCGGTGAACCTATTGTCGCGGACGCCGGTCGTGACAAATTTGTGACAACGCTTTGTCACGGATCCCGTTCTGTGACAAACTTTTGTTAAGCCCAAACCGTCCCCGAAAAAATCCGTGACAATATCCGTGACAAATTTGTTTGTCACGTGTCACGGAGTTTTTTTACTATGGTCCGTGATAAAATCCGTGACAAATTCACTGTCTTCTTGTAGTGCCTACTTCATGATATTGCAATAGAACTTTTATTTAGGATAAAATATGTTGGCATAATATTTGAAGAATATCTTCCCTTCAATGGTGTAGAGCTTCTTATGGTGTTAGCTTACGGGATATGCTAGCATTGGAGTAAGCATCATGCATCATGTGTGGATTGAGAGAATGTTTGGGATACTTATGGATATAAGTTATAATATCATAATCTGTTTTTTCACAATCTTTACTTTTTAAAATAGGCACTAAACACCTTTAATCACCAAAAGAACTTATCTCATTTTCCTGCCAAACGCTTCTTTTTGAAGTTAAAGGACTTATTATTACTTCCTCTAAAAAGCGCGTAGTTTATACCGTATTAAGAAGGCATCTCATATCTCAATATCTACTCATATTGTGCTCTCTATATAGTTCACAATTTTCTAGTTTGTGCAATGTTTAATCATAATTGATTTTTGTGCTTTCTGTTTTGTGAGGCTAAGGCACTTTTTACATATTGTTAATGTTGTCAACACTTTGTGGGTCAACCGGCCTAGTGGTGGTCTTTGAAATAGTGGCATAAACTATATTTGTGGATGTCATCAACTTTATCTTCAGGCATGATGAGGAAACCCCTTGAGTGGAGTGAGACCACCACTATCTATTCTACTCTTAAGTGCTGAGTTGCAGTTTTCCAAGGGCGCCAAGACTATGTCATGTGTATTTTTTTATAGAACAAATTCTTATCTTTAAATCATGTGTGATGAAGTGCACTATTTAGTTATTTTTTTGAATCTTATTATTTGTTATATAGGTTGGAGTGTCTTATTCAATCAGTAATATACTCCGTACTTTGTTTCTTCTTGTTGCATCGTGTTTCATTTTGTTGATTTTTGTTCCATCATGTTTCATTTTGTTGATTCTTGTTGCATCGTGTTTCATTTTGTTGATTTTTGTTGCATTGTGTTATCGATTGTTGTATTGATTTTGATTTTTTTATTTAGGTTTCTATTATCTTTTCAACTTCATTCCTTAAAATTGAAATGTCTATATAACTTTATAAACAAACACCTAAAATGATAAATTTAGATTTATCAAAGCTAGGAAACAACAAACTTTCTATAAAGGAAAATGTGAAGTATTATTTGAGACAGTTCTAAAAAAGAAAGTAAAACCTATTTTCTGAGACGGAGTATTTATAATTGGATAATATATCCTGTATTTAGTAAGTTTGCCACGTTGTGGATTTTTTCATTGGAATATAATCCCGACTATGGCCTTGTTTGGCAATCGGCGGTTAGCGGTTGGCGGTTAGCGGATTATGTTAGCGGGTTGTAAATAGCGGATTGAGTTAACGGATTTGACCGGTGGATTAGTTTGGCGGATTCCAGAAAAATGTTTGGTAACTCAGCTGTTTTATTTTAGCGGTTAATATATAAAAAGACAAAAAAGGACATTAGTTCATTTTAATGTATATGGATAGCCTATACGTATAAAGTCCATATTAATACTGTGTACTATGCAATACTATATATAAATCCATGTTATTTGTATGTTGATAAACTCGAAAATGAGTAAATTAAATATAAAAGTATTTATGATCGTGTATGTTAATTAAACATCTTCAGTAACAAATAAAACATCTAGAAATTGCAAGCATGAAATTAATTTTCACCTTGATGGCCGACCTCCTAACATTGGTAGAAACTAACAGAACCCATTAGTTTAGTAAGATGTCCTTCTTTTCCTTTGCATTATTTTTTTCCTCATATTTCATTATCTAGTGTTTGATCTCAATTGATGCTGCTTTTTATAGCACTTAAGTATTTTGTCTTTTAATCCTCCATCATCTTTACAATAGATCGGTGGTGTTTATATGGCGTGTTCAACTTTGAACCTCCATTAATGGTGGTTTCATGTCGTAAGTTATTTAAAAAGAGGATAAATTAGTCTTTTGATTAATAAAGTGAAAATCGTCAGTCTCAAACGCTGCTCCATGTAGCCATATGAGTTTTGGCGGTTTTGATAAAAAAGCCAGTGCAATCGGCCATTAACCAAACACCTAAGTTAGAGATTTGACTAAGATAAAATTGCTGAAAATGGTCAAACCCGCTAAAATATAGTTGATCCGTCATTATCCAAACACACCCTATATGCTGTGTATTAGCTCGGTGCTTATACGCTGGAACCGGTGCATGGTGAGCATCATGCACCCTTTGTTATTTTTTATTTCTCTTTTTCTTAAAATTGTTAATAATGTTTTTATTTTTGATCCGATTTTTATAAAATTTATATCAAATTTTTTTATTTTTCATTATCTTTCAAATGAGACCAA